CCCTGTGGTTGCCATTGGTAGAGTTGCAGAAGTGGCAGCAGTGAAGGATGGTTTTAACAAAATAAAGATCAGTGAAGTCTATGAATATGTTGGTCTATATGGACCCCGGCTCATGAAAAACAGAGGGTTTTTTTAGATTTGCAGGATGGATTAGTTGGAAGCAACAGGGTGCTTTGAGCTTCCTCAATTTAGGAAAGGCTTACAAGCTTGTTTTCTTGCTTAAAAGCTAATTTTATCATTAGCTGCCTAATTTCAAGCTATTAACTCTTAAAACATTAATTTACTTATTGACCACTTCTATATAGAGGAACAGAGGAAACAACCACACTGCACCAGATCAAAAGTCCGTTCAGCCCAGCAGCCTGTCTGAGGGTGGCGGTGGTGGATGCTTCAGTGTAAATGTAAGAATAGAATGCTTATGCCTTGCCTTGTTCATCTTCCCAGCCTCTGGCAAACAGCATTTGAAAAGCTTCCTGTTCTGCTAATCTAGGATTTATTTCTAAGACTGAACCTTCCAGCGAAAGTTCCAGGATGAGATAGTTTTTCAGGGATGTGTAAGGGTGTGAGAGCAAGAGAAAACAGGAGCATTTGTGCAATGTCTGGTTCATGTCAGGCAGTGCAGGAAGGTTGCCTGCTGTTGCACTATAAACTGACTGTCCTTGGCCCCTTCTTTTCCTCTGCCTCAGTAAATCAGCTCTTCCAAGCCTTTAGATCTAGGAGATTTCCAGTCCCATCTATATGGGTGGTTGACCTCCTTAGCTGGTGGTGAAGGGATATCCATTTGCCTTCATGACAATTAGAAAAAAGATGTGGATGGAGAAAGACCTAAGAGTTTATTTCTAAGAGGGAGAAAGCACAAAAAGTTTAAAGGTGATCTGCCAGTACTGAAATATTCCTGCAGCTCCAAGCAGAAAGTTGCAAACATCCCTGTTTGTACTGATGTTCTTGGCACCTGCTCCTGAACCTTTTTGTACTGTGGTCAGTGAGCCAGCTGTTTCCACTAACACCTTGTGAGAAATAAGCCAGAAAAGCAGAGCAACAGCTGAATGATGGACAATAAATATGAAAATTTCATTCTTGAACTTTTGTGTTTTGACTGAGGGTCTCTTGCTTACCAAATTATTAAAACTGAACTGAACGAACTGTTAAATATCTTAATTGCTATATTTAGAAAATAAAGTTGCATTATTACCATCTCCTCACAAGAACCAGGTCTCCCTCATCTTTTGGGGCTCTTTTCTAAGCAAAGTATTCTCTTCATTCTGTCACATCTGCAATACTCTCTGTCCTGCCTTAATTGGCACAATCATTCTCCATTTGCAGGACCCAGCCCTGCTCAGGATTGCTTGAACATGTAAATCCCGCACCTCCTGTTGGTTTTGTAAACCTGGCCCCACAGCTGGATTCCCCAAGCTAGCATTTGCAGATGTCTTGTCTCATCTGGGACACTTCATCCCACAGCAGAGAAATTTCTTCAGTTCCTCATTAAACATAGCGTGTCTGACTTACCCAGCTGGTTAATCATGGAGCTTGTGCCTTAATGCTCTTTTTGTGGCCTTGTTTTAGTCACGCTTGGCCACACAGTGAGATCTCTCAGCCTGGGCAATGAGCTCTATTGCTCAGCAGCACTCTATCTCCAGAGATAAAAAGGGATGAGGGCTGGCTGTCAGGGAGAGCTCTTCTCCAGAGTCTGGCTGCTGAAATGGCTTCAACCTTGGATGTCAGAAGTGGTAGAGGTTAAGTGAATCAGCATCCCAAATTTTTCACTGTAAAAGCCCTAGAGGCAGCAGCCCAAATCCAATCCAGATGATAATTTTCTTTCATAATTTATTTCCTTTACACGTTTTTAGCTCTCGTTATCCTCAAGAGAAATCTCTCTGAGGCTACATCTCTCTTTGTCTTTTAACAACGCCTATGTCCATGGCATAGACATGGACACCTCTTTCCAAACATCCTTTTATAGCTCAGCACTTGTTGGCTGGAGCCGAGGATTCATCAGCAAATAGGTAGTAGAGCTAAAAATGACCCCAAGGAAGATCTAAACTCAGTCTTTCAAAGCTTTCATATCACAGTGCTTTAATTAGCTAGCAGACAGCTAAGCACTCTGGGCCTTTACAACACCACCCTGCAGTCAGCTGCTTTCCTGGGCCAAGAGCCTTAAACTAGCAGAAATTTGGGAGATTGTCATCTCTTATCTCTCTTGCAAACTTTGCCGTCCATTTTGAATGTGACATTTGGTAATGTAGCAACAGTACAGCATAAAATTAAAAAAAAAAAAGGAAAAAAAAAGAGAGAAAAACCTCCCAGACTCTGGAGAAGAATAGCTCCTGCCATTTCCCTTTTGTATCCACTGCCGAGGTATTTGAAAAGAGCAGGAGATAAGTAGCCTTATGACTACTACAGATTAACAGGCTCTGAGGTACTGAACGCGGATTGTTGCTGCTGGGAGTATAATGGCTATTGAAATTCGCATTTATACAGACATTTCCATGGTAGCACTGCAAAGAGCAGAGTGTATCGATGGCTGCAGACCATAAATGCTGAGGCCATGCAAAATAAGACAAGGAGCAAAACCCCTGCCACTGGGAAGCAGCAGGGCAGTGACCAGTTCCTGCCATGTAGTAGACCCTCTCCTACTTCAGATTATAGATCTTCCTGAGACACAAAGGATACACTAAAGCTTGGAAAATTCCCACCAGAGGCTTTCTAAAGGGGAGAGAACACAAGCCCCTGGCCTGCGACGCTGAGTCACAAACTGCCATGAAGTGTCTGCTGTCCTGCCAGGCCCTCCTGAGTCGCACTGAGCGACTTCTGCCAGGTGATCCAGGGGAGCTCTGGAGGACAAAGGCACAAGGGAGTTTTTGGGTTATCTTGCAGCCTTTGTTTTTGTTTATGGTTTGTTTTGCGGAGCTCATTGAACAGGGATGGGACTTTGTGCAAGAGGTGTTACGGCTTGTCACCGTTGCAGAGGCCTATTGTGCGGTTGTCCTCGATGCATGGGCTGCAATGTGCCATGTCACAGTTTTCCAGGTGTGTATCAGAAAGCACAGGCAGGGCTTGCTCCAGTCTGGTTAAAGCAAGACTGACTTTTCCTTTCCTTGCTTTAGCACTGGAAATGAGAGGCTCGGAATCAGCAGCATTGGGGTTGCACCAGGACAATGACACTGTTAATTCTCATCCACAAGCTGTGATGCAAATCGTGAAGCATTCTGCATGTGAGGGAATTCAGCTTTCCTGATCTGCTGAGTTGTAAGGTCAGTAGCGTTGTTCCCATACTATGGCTGGGGAAATGGGTGTGCTGAGAAGATAAGTGCTTTTTCCAGCATCACCTGGAAGATCAAGGACAGACTTGGGAAAACAGCGCAGATACCCTTTCTCCAAGTCAGTTCTCTTTGCACGTCCTTGTACCATCAAACATCTATACCCACAGCCCCTGAACACCTTCCAAGCATTTGTGGTCTTACCCTTCCAGTACCCCTGTGAAGGAAATACTAGAGTACCTCCTTTACACCTAAGGAATAGCAATGCAGGGGGTCTAAGGCGTGTCTCATGCCTTTGGTTTGAAGAAATCTGAGATTATATAGAAAGCTGAACTGGTCATAAGCAATGGTTTCATAAATTCTGGAAGAAAGTGCTGTAATAACCTGGTTTTTGATATTCAGTTGCAGAAAACTTAATACTTCCTCTGCCAGGGGAAAGGGGGCAAACTCTCAACCAAACTTTCATGTCTGCACCTCTCTGGAGAGTAGAATTTGCACATAGTTGTTAGATCTCAGTTATATCTGCACATTTATCTCCAGCTGCTGCTGTTACTCAGTAGAAAGGTGAGATGTTGATTTTAATCTCTGACGTGCTTTTGATTAACTGATCCCCAAGGAAAAGAGGGATTAAAAACCACATCTGTGGGCTCCAAAGGATATGTCCTGGACAGATCTGTTCCTCCCCCTCCCTCCTGTCCTGAAGCTTTCCATCCTCTAAGTGCAGGGATGTTTCAGAGCAAAGGCTCCAATTTGTGTGATGGTTTTGTATTATACTTATCCCATCAGAAAAATGTGTTGTCTGCATCGCGTGGGGTGCTTGGTGCTATAATAGTAGGGGGTGTAGGTCATGACTGAGCAGCCCTGGAAGAAGTGTGTGGGGGCGTCACTGGAATACCAATGTGACTTGGAGGTCAGAAGTGAAGAAGCTGGCAGATTTTGGTGTGTGACAGATTTTGATACCAAATACCTTTGTCAAAGAGGTAGGGCCTTGCTGCATTGCAGCCATCAACACGCGGAGCAAGCTCATTGTGCCAGAGGAGCCACAGTTTCTTCTAGAATTGCTAAAATTCAATATCAAACAATTAGAGGTTAAAAATAGCTCCATGGCTGTGTCTATTCCTCTCTCTAAATGTTTGCTTTCTTTGTTTCTGTGTTAGTGGCACTGGCCAAGTCAGCACTCAGATGCAGCAGAACTGACTAAGTTATTGCTTTAGCCCCCAGGGTCATACAGAGCACATGGACATGGATGCAAGAAGCACATAACTTATTTTTACTAGAGGGAGAATGTGGAAACAATCCCCAAGTCTACAAATGGAAGGAGCCGGTTCCATAACAGTTAAGGCCACCAGGCTTTCTTATTAAGGTCAGATCTAGTGTGTCATGTTGAACGTAATTATTCCACTGCTTATAATTTCAGTACATTTGATTCTGAATATAAAATGAGGCAATTTTCTTCCTGGGGATAAGAGAAATGTGTGCCTTTGCAGAGCATGAGACACAATCACTCTCAGACTGGCCAGCTTTATTTCTTCCTGATGAGGCACTGACTCCCCAGGGGATAAGCTGAAAACAGTATTTTCAACAGAGAGGGCAAAATACAAAGAAGAAAGTTTTTCTTCTGCTCTCAGGGGTGTTGTGCTTGGATGGTGGCCTGTTGCTAAGTGGCCCCATGGGAACGATTCCCAAAAGGATCATAGTTCTGTGTCCGGAGATTTCATTCCCTTTAGACCTCTTTCATCTCTTCATTCAAATCCTAATGCCGAGATTGACCCTGTAGGCTATTAGTTGCCTTCAGCTACCATTCTTCCTGTTTTAAAAGCAAGGCCGATAGGAACATTTGAAAAAAGGACTCTTCAGACCTGGAAAATTTTGTCATGAGGTAAGTGCAAAATGCTCTTCTTTTTTTTTTTTTTTCTTTTTCTCTCTTTGCTTTGTGAAGTGAATGGGATTGGGTTCTTTGTTGCCTTGCACTTTACACTGAAATGTATGCTTGTGCCAAATGCTTATAACGTGCTGCCAAATCCAAAGAGTAGCATTTTGTATGTTCTTTGTTCAGGCATGAATGCCTGTGCAAGGTGCAAAGCAAGACTAGCTCAGATGCTACAATAGTCCCAATCACAGAATGTTACTAGTAAATGCTAAAACATGGTAGCACATTTCCTTAGTTCTTCTGCCTCTTGTCTGAAAACAAGATCACTGAAACTGAGCACAATACTCACCCCACAAAATTGGCATAAATTTAGAAAGCTACTAGGTATAAAACAGCACTTCCCATGGCCTTGTTCACCTGCAACCTGCAAATAAAATCTAATTTTTCAACATCTGAGCCCCTATAGGAATTATAACATTGCCATTTTTTACCCTCAATAATTTTCAGGTGTCCTATGACCATCTATAACTGCAGCACAGAATGGATGGCAAAGGATTCTGTATGCACACAAAATTAAAACACCTGTTACCTCTAATCCATTTCATACCTCAAATGGAATTAAAGGTTTTTGTATTATACAGTGGTCCTGCACAATTATGTTTGTTCTCTTTTTTTCCCAAATGCTTTGTAGTCCTGTAAGTGCTGACAGCAGTGTGCCCTCCCTTAAGGATTGCTTTCAAAATGAGTGCTCTTTGTTATAGCTGTGTAGGGGCTGGGGCTCAGATTACTAAGAGGAGAGATATTCTTGGTGGATGAGAGGACGTAGTACTCGTGGAAGAACCCCTGAAGTGTCTTTCCTAATCCTGCAAGTGAGGTTATCTCCCTTTAGTGTCCTCAGAAGGACGTGTATATACTGTCTGTCAGCCCAAATCTGGAGGTCTTGATGGCAGTTTCTTGAATTGTTTGGTGTTGTGGTCTATAATCCTTAGGAAAATGGGATGATCTATGTGATCACGGCATTTAGGAAGAAGGACTTTGCTTGTAAAAGGATAAGGCTGGTGCTAAGGGTTCCCAGTGCATTTTTTTGAATGAACCCTGGCCATTTGTGGTTACCCCAGGCAGTGCTGGACATGACTTTTAGCGGGGTTGCACACTTGTGTTTTTAATTCGTTCAGCTTCTCACAGCAGAGACAGACAGAGATCTGTTCTGTGGGAAGGAGAAATAATGAGAGTTATATCCTGCTCCTTCTTGAAAAACGGAAGCTTTATAATTGAGTTTGTCCACACACCAGCAAAGTCCGAGTGTGACATCTGCTTCTTAGGTTCCTGAGCTGAAAGAGCGCCTTCTTTATAGCTCTAAGCTCCTCTATTAAATTTGAGCCACTTCCTCACCCCATCCAGTGTGGAGACAGGTTCTAACTTGGCGCTGAGAAATGGAGAGGCTGGAGTGCAGTGGCTTGAAGACCAATCTCAGGGTATAGAGAAACTCCCTCAGCAAAAATTGCTGGGCTGGGATCCTGCGACTTGTGTAAAAATGTGGTGTTGAATTACTGCTAAACACATGAATAAGTAGTGATGGGATTCACTGAGAGCATCAGTATCTACCACAGGAGCTTGCTGTGCTTGGCTCAGTCTGTAGCCTCCCGGGAGATCAGCTGGCATTTAATTTTGATCACTGCAGAAACGGGAGGCTGAGCTTGCAACAGTGACTGGCTTAGCTTATGTGTGTGAAAATGTTATTAAAATGGGAAAATGTCTCTCCAAATGGATTTTGCTTTGTCGTTTTAAAATCCCATGTAAATGATGCACAAAGGATTTAGAGTGGGGGAACTATCAGAGATAATAATAAACTATTAATACAAACTAGTCGAGTTTCACTCAGTGGGATTAAGACTCAGTCATGTCTCATTTAGGAGTGTAGTATTAAGCCGTCCTTCAGATATGACAAGGTTTATGTTTTCCCTGAGTTGTTTCCAACTGAGGAGGGAAATATCAATTAATTTAAATTTTTGCCTGTTGTCAATCCTGCCTCCATGGGTTTTGGAGTCCAACCTAATGCCATAACCTAGAGCAGCAGTGATGGATGTAGGTTTATCATTGACAAGGAAGCAATAAGTATCAAAAAGAGGTACTAAGCAGGGGAAGGGTTGTCTGAGGAAGGGGCACTAAGAGGGTTGGGGAACATGCCACCCATTCTCTGGGAGTCAGAAATGTTGCCATGGAAAGGGAATTTGAGACAGTAGATTGCTTTACCCTCCGGAAAACAGAAGTTTCTTTTTTTTTCTAGCACTGGCTGCTAGAAAATCATAGCTCTACATGGAAAAGACCAACTCAGCATCCCTCTGGCTGCCTCTGTGCAGAGCAGCTATCAAACTGAATGTCTGTGTCTCAAAAATGTGGTTCCTACCCCTTCTCCTGCAATTCTGTCCCTTGGCTTGCCAGATCCCATTCTTACAAGCTCTTTGTTTCATGACACCTCATGTTAGTTATCCTCTGTAGGATGTTAGTACTTTATTTTTCCAGCCCATCAAAGCAGCTGAATCAGGGAACTCACCTGTAATGTAGTTAAAACATATGACAGGTGTCACAGTTGCATTCACCAACTTACCCAGCACAACACAGACATGTTGTTATATTTAGGAACCATTTACACTGGTTTTTTCAACTCTGCTATACATTATATTAGTCATTTTGTCCTCCTTAGATGTCACTTATGAAAATTCAACACTGGCAGAGCTGCTGCCACTTGCTGCAGTATCTGCATTGTTGTCATTATCCCAAATATTGTGGCATTTAGAGATTTACTTCATTAGGAGGATGGGATCTGACCATCCTTCTCTTGCACAAGAAAAATGTACCATCTAAACTCAAGACACCTCCAGTCATTAACACTGGAGCAAAATCAACCATTTAAGGGATTCCTTTCATGAACTTGCCATCAACATTTGTGGTTTCAAATTAATTTGTTATGATTGTCTTTGCTTAGGATATCTCTTCAGGTGATCCAAAACATCTATCTGAAATGCCTCCCCTGTTAAGTGATGTAAGCTCAAACTGCTGCTCTGCCCACAGGTGTATCCTTCATTTTGATTTCTCTGCTTCTTTGCTGTGATGTTTGCAAGCCCTCCCTTCTTATGGGACTTGGTTGTCATTGTCCCTGCTGTGTTCTCCTGAGGGCAGCTGGAAGTCAGAGTTCCCAGGAGCACAACGTGCACACAGAAATTTTTTAAAATGGAGAATTTCCTTGGTTACAGTTTACTGGGAATTTTAGCTGGCGTGTGAATTTTTTTTCAGACAGTGAATTTTGAATTTGTAATAGAATCTGCCTTTGAAATCCAGTATTAGCAATTAATGAGGTAGAGCAGTTAGGGGTAGAGAAGCATATTAACTCATTTAGAAATCTAGACAAAAACAGCACAATTTAAGGTACTGAATTTTTGCAACAAACAGCTTGTGAATGAACTGTAGATAAATTGATCTAATTAACAGGTTTCCAGATACAATTTCAAAGGATGAATTAATTTCAGAAAAAAATCTCAAATCAGTGAACAGACATTTTGTAAAGAATAAATAGACTAAAATATAAGAAGTAATTTCATTTAAGAAGTTATTTATATTAAATAATTTGCACATCTCCACTGAGGTTTAGCAGTTCACCTTCTTGATTCTAGCCCCATGCACTGACACACACACTCACACACACACAGAGTCATGTACTCCCTCACTCTATGTGATTTAGGCCTTGCAACCTCTTGTCACTATCAGTAATCATTAGAGCCACTCTCATCTTGCTGTTCCAGTTCCTCCTCTCTAACCTTTTCTGGCTCTGCTTATGCACTACTCTGATGCCTCTCTGTCTTGCAGAATTAATTTTAAACATGGAGACTTACGTGCTTCAGTCTTTAGATGGCACCAAAACTGAATGCACTAATTAGGGAAGCTTTATGATTTCTATTATTTTCTAGTCACAGATAGGCGGTTTTTTTAGAGCTTGTGAAGGTTCATGAGCTCTGATTTAGCAAGGCTTTCTATGAGTTCTCCATATATGCTGTCTGTAATGCTAGATCTTATGTTGATTAAAGGGCACCATCTAAATAGAAACAATTGCACCGGCAGCTTTGAAGTGCTCTGTATGTTGGTAAAAACTGTACTGAATTGAACGGCAAGGGTTTGACAATAAAATATAATCAGAGACTTAAAATATAAAATTAAATGGTGGGCTTGTCTGATGTTGGTAGTGGTCCTTTCAATTCCTTCTTATTCAAGTGTATGAAGCAGTCAAATACTTTCTTTTCATCTCAGGGCATTATTATCTTTAAGGAGTTTGTGTACCGACTTCAAGCTGTCTGGGTGGTATTGACTGAAACAAAGCAATGCATGCAATTGCATTTCTAAAGAACTAGTGCAAAATGATATGAAATTAAAATAGATGGAGATATTAAGTGCTCCCCAAGGGCAATAACACTGGTACTTAATGGGCAAAGATGTGTAAGAGACAAAACTAGGAGTTATTTACTATGTAAATACCTACAGACAGACTTCTGGTAACTGGAGCTGTAGTAGAGGAGGGTCTGAAATTGTTGCTTTCTTTCAGTGCTAATGTTGCAGTGGTGATATTCCACCCAAACTGATCCATTCCTGGTCCTCAACCCTTCCCATGTCCCAGTGCCTCTTGCTTGTTTCTTTAACAGCAGTTGTTAAAGCATGATAAGAAGACCAGAGTCCTGGAAAGCGTAATGGCTTTAAGGAAAACTCTCCAGGTTCATTTTTCTTGATTTGAAATTGCATTACATATATTATCCTTTATTTACTTATATTGCACTTCTAAGCAGAGCACTTTTCTGGCTAATGAGCAAGTGACCTAGAAGATTTGAATTTTAGCAAGTTTGAACTTTACTGATAAATACTGAAATCTTAGGCTTGGTTGATGGTAGAATTACTTGAACAGAGAAAGAACTCCAGTGTGTACACAGAATCACAGAATGATATGGGGTTGGAAGGGACCTCTG